GCTAGAACACATTGCTTGTATAACTTGAGTCTGGTTCGAATGGGGTGGACATCACTCACAAGCCAGGACCTGAGATTGCGGAAGCACCATTTGGCGGCGGTGATTCGACGTGCTGTCGTGTCTGCATCCCATGCTCTATAACCTATGATGACTCCGAGGTACGCTGTTTTCGACACAAGCGGTAGCTGCCATCTTCGTTCAGGCAGCGTCAGGACAGGGCCAGTGGATGGTCTACTAACCCAGGTACGAAGAAAGGCAGGAGCCTCTTTCCCTTGGAGTCGAAGCATGGCAACTGACTTGTGAAGATTGACATTGAAGCCAAAGGCTTGAAGAGTCATTAACACATGTTGAAGGTCAGTGAGAGCTTCAAGGGCTTGGGCTGTTGATCGAATTATCCACCGGAGGTGGATGTCATCTGCGTAAACGACCATGTGCTCGTGAAGCCATTGATGGGAGTATTTGTTTTGGAGATCAACAAGTACAAGGCTCATGGTGAGGGTCCATAGCAAGGGGGCATCTTTGGCTCCCTGTTTGATTCCCCGATGTGCATGGATTTGGCCGATCAACTGCTTGAAGGGAATACAATACTTATGGGGGGTGAGCCATGTGTGCACAAATTGAAAAAGGTCGGGATCCAAATGGTACAACTGCAAGGCTCGAAGCACCAGGGTGCGGCTGACTGTGTCAAAAGCCTTTTCCATATCTAATGAGACTTGGAGTCCTCCAAGCAGCCTAGGCTGAGTTCCAGTCTTGACAGCCCTGCACATCATGCGTACATGTCTGCAATGTTCAGCAACGATGAGAAGACATTCACGTGTCCCTCTGTGTGGCAAGTACGCATAGAGTGGAAGACGTCTTAGTCTGTCGAACGTCTGCAGAATGATCTGTCTGCATTGGATTCCGGCAAGAATCTTGTTGACCGGGTGTTGAAGACAGATTGGTCTGAGAGCTTGGGGTTTGCTTGGGGATTTATTCGGTTTAGTGAGAAGATGGATCCATCCTGTTGTCCAATGATCCGGAAGGTTTACGGGATATCGAAGCCAAACCTGCTTAATCTGATGCATTAAAGGATCAACAAGATCATGCGCAAAATGCTTCCAGATCAGTGCTGGCAATCCATTCGGTGCCAGGGCTTTGGTGCTTGGCAGGTGCAAAAGCTCAGTAAGCACATCCTGGCGGTCGAAGGGAAGTCGGGTGAGAGGTTCGAGGTCCCGGGCGTCAAACTTCGGATCAGCAAACAGTTGTGTATAGTATTGTTCGATGGACTCCAACTCCTGTCTCGGTGCAAGAGGCATGCCATGAGTATCAAAGAGCTGAATTCTTTTCGATCTTTGTTTCGGACACAGAAGCCTGATCTTCCGGTACCAGTCGAAGATGCGTCCATGAAGGGCAAGATCTGCACCCTCAATGAGAATCTGTTGCAGTTTGTCTCTCTTATTTTGCCTGCTCTGTTTACGAATGGCTTTATGGATGGTTCGGAAGGTGGTGATATGAGCCCAACACTCAAAGAGATCGCGAATGCCGCGACCACGAACGGCCAGAGCCTGCTTGCGGGCATTCCACATCCTGGCGGCCATGGAGGAAATCTGGGGTGCATGGGGGACCCTTGATTTTCTTTTGGGAAAGAAATTAGAACAAATAGTTCGAAGTTCTTGTTCCAAATCGAACATGGATACCTGATGCGATGGAGGAGGTGCAGAGTGTCGAGCGATGCACTGACGAATCTGGACCTCGAACTGCTGCCAGTGTGCAGTGTGTTCTATTCTAGCCGTACGGATGGCAAAACGGTCAATGTTGTTAAGAGGTAGCACTGGTTTCCGAGGCGCAAACCACCTTGGCAGGACAAAGAACAATGGATGATGATGAGGTCCGTGACATCCAAAATTGCGCATAAAATTCCTATCCATGGCGGGTTGCATACGACGAAATTGAACCTGATGTTGTCGAACAAAAACATAATCAATGCGAGAATGATGGGAGTCATGTTCAAAGGTCGATGCATACTGCTATTTACAATGCAACGCAATCAGGTCCTGTGCTTTCACCAATTGCTGAAGAAGATCTCGATCGGTGTGAGTGTTCAAGGATGCACGGGCATCATGGCTATTGATGTGTGGCGGATCGAACTTGAGGGTGGTATTAAAATCACCCATAAGGACCATCTGATACTGCTGCGGAATATGATTCAAAGTCTGCTGCAAGCTGGTCCAAATCTTGGCACGATTATCAAGAAGCTGTTCCTTGCCTTTGGTTACATTCCAGGCATGCTGATATACAACGATGAAGTCATATGTGCTGTCCAAAAAGAGGCGGATCTGAAGAAATCGGCCATCAAAATGAAAGGCCGATGCAATCTGTTCAGGTCTGGCCAGGGTGCTCCTGATGAGCACAAGTATGGCAGCATGCTTCGTCGATGAGTGGATACAATGCCATCCCTGGGACGTCCAGGTGGAATTAAAATTCCAACCAATTTCCTGCAAGGCAATGATGTCCAGGGGTTGGGATGTACCCCAGTACAGGAGCTCGTCATGGACCAAGTTCTTCGAGGCATTCCAGGTCTTCTTCGAGGCATTCCAGGTCATGCACCGTATGCCAGGTGTTGTTTGCGGTGTCCGTGACTTCATCTTGTCTTATGAGTGCCGTCGATAGGCTTCGCGAAAGCGCCAGGGTACATCGGTATCAAAAAGATAGCCTTTCCGATAAGGCGTGTAGCCATGCTGCAGTGCTCGGAAGCATGCTCTCTTGAAGGTCCTCTTAATCTAAACGATGCGCGGCCGGGAGACGACAAGGCCGTAGCCTCCTCTGGCCCATCCCTCAGAAGGCTTCGTGGAGAAGCTCTGGTGTCGAGTGAAAGAACCATCTCCACTCTCGTCCGGGATTGAGGAGTCCCGGACAACCCTTACGCCACCCATGGGTCCGCTCGGTATAAAAAGCGGTGCATTGGCATCCATGGGCCCTAGATTTGGGCCCAGGGAAATCAATCTCAGTCCTAACAGAAAGAAGTGCAGCCAAATGAAAACTATCATCAATGGGGTGAAGGCCAAAAAGTCCAGAAGACAAGGCAAAGAAAATGGCGGGAAAATCTACAAAGAAATGGTTGTCGTAACTCGAAGCTAAAATGCGCGCTTGTATATAAACATATAAAACAATATATAAAATCAAAATCTCACGCTACTACAAATTCAATCCAATTTTCTTATAATTTCAATTAATTTTCTAGATTTAAATATCTATACATATATAAAATTAAATATATAATTCAATGCATAATTTCCAATAATAATAAATATTTTAAAGAAAATATTATTATATAATATATATTATATCATTAATCGCAATAAACACATAAATATCCTAATAAATATACTATATTTTTTAATTAACAATGCAATATTTATTTCGATCAAAATATAAAATTCCAAATATTTTTATTATAACCATATTATTTCGATAAATATCATAAATTTATATTTCCATTAATTATTTTAATAAATCATTTAATAATCGTCATTTTATATATAATCCGAAAATAAATTCGACACAATATTTTATCTAAACATTCCAAAATATTAATTCTTTTTTAATATATACATATTTTTCAATAAATATAATCTAAATCAAATTTGGAATAATCCCCCCCATAATATTTCAAATATTTGCCTTGATGCCATAGTGAGGAGCATATTGCCATAGTCGTAAGTATTGTAGTTCTCGATTTTGTTTATAGATCCTCGGATTGTGTGCTGTGATTGTGTAATTGTGGTTGTATGTTATGGGTTTGTGGTTGTGTGTGGTGTTGTGGTGGTTGCTGTGTGTTTGTGGTTGTGTGTGGTTGTGTGAGTTGGAATTGTGTGTTTGTGCTTGTGCGTTTGTGGTTATGTTCGTGTGTTTATGATTGTGTGTCTATCTAGGAACACTAGGCGTGGATGCTCGTGCACGTTTAGGTCCGACAAGGAACACTAAGCGTGGCTGGTCGTGGTTAGGATCCGGCAAGGAACACTAGGCATGGATGGTCGTGCTTGAGGTCCGGCAGAGAACATAAAGCGTAGATGGTCGTGGTTAAGGTCAGGTAGAGGAGGACGAGGAGTAGGAAAGGGAGAAATAGGAGGAGGCGGAAGAGGAGATGGGGCTGACATAAAATCTAACAACCCTCAAGGTGGGGAATAGTTTAAAACAAAATCCTTGCCAAGCAAATCGCCCAAATTATACCAATTATCATACAAATAACATATTATGATATATCCCCTGATCAATGAAGCAATGATGAATTATATAATAGCCTATTCAGAGTTATTTAGGATCTATTCTCGTCAGATTCCCAATCTCACAAATCTTGATCCGCTGATCAAATGACACGCTCCAACGATCTTATATGATCCGCTGATCCGATTATTTTCTGATTCAGATCCAGATGATCTGTTGATCCGACAGTCTGTTGATCCGCTGATCCTCTGATCCAATGACCCGCTGATCTGGTGATCTGACCATCCGCTGATGGAACAACAGTTGCACCGCACCGCACGACAGAGTCAACTTCAAATGACAACTATGACAACAACAGCCGAACACTGAGCTAATGCAGCTGGCATCGAACCAAACACCCTACGGAGGGGAGAATCAACTGGAATCAATATTCAGACCCCGACAGCCCAACCCTCCCTACGCAAGACAAACTGAAGGTAACCCTCCAGAGGCTACTTTTCGGCACACATTACTTAAATCCCACAAAAGATCGTTCACTGCACATTTCTTTTTGGTATTGCGAAGTTTGCCTAAGGCAAGGTCCTGCATCGGAATGATTTCTGGATCGTGGATGGGCGAAGAAAGTGAAGAGGTCTAAGAAAGGTTTGAGAAATACCCGATATCCACGATGAGTGAAACGAAGCCACCCAACCTTGATCTTCAACCATGCATACACACCTTGAAACCCTTTGAAAGACAAGTGTATTCTTTCCAGATTCCATGTGCAGTCATTGCAGACACTACCAATAGCTTTGAACTTTTGGGTGAAACGGTTGGGTGGCTTCAGACCTGGAAAATGTGGTAAGACCACGGATGGCTGCCCATCCAATCACGCATCTCAATCCAAAAAACCTAGCGGTGCGAAAGGAGCCTTGTCGTTTGTCCAGTAACATCAGCGGATCTTCCTCACAAACACGCCTTGAAACATGATCAAGATCCTACCTCATCAGGTGAGCTAATGAGCCGGCCCCCCGTTACAACTGTGTATATATATACATATGCATATAAATTACAGCTGGTCTAGGTATCTGTATATCTCAAGACAGGCCCACAACCAAAAGATTCCATCAAACTTTTGTCATAGAACCGGACCTTGAACCATGCACACTATTCAGCGGTTGCAACTGAAGTTTTGTGCCCAGTCACTGCGTATTTGATCAACCGCCTCAGACATCATGTGCGGTTCGGACAATGGGACGTGATATATAAAACACACGTCACAACTCAGTCATAACTTGTCCCAACAACGAGGAATGAGGGACTCTGGCGACACGTCGATGTCGCTCTGGTTCATGTGAAAGCTCTTGCTGTGCATCTTGACAAGCTTAAATCCACTGAATGGTTGACCAGACCATTCCACTCACCCCCCCCCGCAAATCAAGTCAAGTTTGCAAGACATCACAGAACTTGTCAGGAAAGAAACAAAACACAACATTGTGTAGATACAATATATACCCATTGCAGATTTATATATACCACTTAAGGCAACCGTGAAAAGAACCGCCGGGAAGGCAAAACAACATTCCGGGAACGGACAACAACAACCCCCACTTTAGGCCTTCACACGCTATCACTCCAAATACCAAGATTTTGGATCTCCAAGTAAGGCCAGGAGCCCCTAGTAGCGTCCTTGCTCCTAGTAGCGATGCCAGGAGCCCCTAGTAGCGATGCCCTTGCTACCAAGATTTTGGATCTCCAAGTTTCTTCATCTCCTTGGATCACATCAGAGAGCTCGTCTCTGGATTCCAACTCTTTCACCCTGAGCCGATGCGAACGACAAGAACAGTCCCCAACGGAGGAGCAGTCACAATCGGTAAGACCTTGACCCCCTGTGTTCCCTAATTTCCTGGTTCGATTTCCCTTGGTCCTGTTTCCCCAAAACCTCCTTCCATGCTACGGTCCACAACAATGTCGTGTCTTGACTCAGATTTTCCTCCTTGGTATTACCAGCTTTCCAACCTGAGCACGGAAAAGAGTTTTGGACACGGTTGCTCTTTGGAGGAACAACAAAGCCAACTCTGTGAGAGGCTTTCTAAATGATAGCATCGCTTGCCAAACAGCCAACCACATGACCACAACAAAAACTCTAAAGCAAAAAGAGTTACTGTACCCTAGACTGCAGCATTCTCCAGGGTGCCACTGCATGAAGTTGGAGGAATAGCGAGCGACCAAGGCAGCCACTGGCCTGAGATGCTTGGTCGCTATTGGTCGCTTCAGGAGGAAAAGTACAAATTTTTGTTGTCCAAAAGGAGTAACACAAAGATGGATTTGTGTTCAATTTGTCACTCTCATATTGCCATGCTACGAAATAATCCGAAGTGCGTGGCAAAGTGGCCTGGTGCAGTAGTGGTGAACGTGTGAGTGGGGCACTGGCAGCTATGAACTGATGTGTATGTTACTTGGCCAGCCCGTTGGCCAGTGAGCTGTACTGTGCCAAAGAAAGGGTGCTTGCGTCCCAGCATGGCGGAGAGCACAAACAAATAAAAACACGGATATAGGGAATCACACTTTGATGGCATCCCGCCTCTGGCACAAATGATGGAAATGGGGTACCACTAAGACCTTACCGGAGACCTATGTTTTGAGCGTGGATGCCATCAATATGTGCGTGGCACAATTACTGAGCTGTTCCTGAACCAGTCAGACTCAGGACATCCTTCCATCCAAATGATAACAACATCAACATACAGTACACGGGAATCACACTTTGATTGCACACCATGAACAAACCAAGCCCAGATGCCATCAACCTGTTTGCCGTACACATGTAAATCCAGCCGGTGGTTGAAGCCTTTTGAAGGACCTCGTCGTTTATTTTCTCAGAATGTCACTAGATGCCATCTATTTGTTCCAGGATCTAGCCTCAAGTGGTTGATTGCATTTCCCAAGTAGAGCCCACAAATTGATTGCATATCAAAGGTGTTTTGCCAGGGCCATCAAAGTGTGATTCCCTGTACTGAAACTTTCGTCCTGTTTCTTCAGGAGAACTGGAGACTTCTTGGACAGACTGTCCAACCAGGTGACACACACACACACACACCATCATCACCCAAAGACATCCAAAAACAATGTTCTTCAAACCATCAGCGCGTCAACACCCCACTCCTCCATGACCTGTTCTTCAGTCTTCTTCAATTCATCCTACCGCTGGACCACCCCCACTGGTCACCATGAACAAATAGCGACGCGCCATCACCCCCATGGCCGCACCTGATCAGTGCGACGATCTCTCCAAAGGCCTTGGGCGCCACCGCCACGAGGTCACACTCCGAGATGGCCGTGAGTTGCCCCACCTTGGCTGCCAATTTGCGCTTTAAAGAAAGATAAATCATGCCAGGTGTTATGTAAGTTTTGGCTCGACATACAGTAGGGGTTTGCCTGGCAATGCCCTTCTAAACTAATTGTTTGGAGAACTGACTCTTTCCAGCTGCTAATTAGGCCCTGGCACTTCAGTGTTGGGATGAAGACTTTTCAACACATGATGCCAAGGCGCATGGATCCAAAACGGAGTCCACATCACGGGCTCCGCAATCCAGTCCTCACTGATCTTTGGAATTTGACTTTGGCAAAGCTTTTCGAGAGACGGAGGTGTCTATCCAAACTTTGGACCCTTCTGCAATGCCTGCAGAAAAAGGCCAGAAGGCCAGAAGATACTCCCGCCTACATCCGCATTCACACACACACTTATATACACACGACCTGTTCAAGCTCTTTCAATCTTTCCCCTTCCAATCACCCGCTTCCCGCAGCTCCTCCCCTGTGTCCACCACCTCGACACGCGGGTCTGGACCATCCGCATCCCTGACCGAGCCAAGACCAGTGACCCAAATCATCCAAGGTCCTTGTGAGATATTGGGCCTTCAAGTAACTTTTGCTTACAAAACCTACGGAATGGCAATAGTGTGGCCCAAAATATTGAGCCCCCGAAGTATACTAGCATCCTACAGTTTCATTCAAACACACACACACAGGTTAGACAACCAAATATGAAGAGAGATTGTTGGCCCATCATTCAATGCCAATGCTTCTCGGCCTGATGTACTGCATCCGTCCACCAGCGATGAAGTACATGAAGCTACCCTCCTGGTTCGGCAAAAACTGCCTCAGCTCGGTCAGTGGGATGAAACAACTTGTGCCGTCGTGGGGCGTCACGGCCTGGCACCTGGGGTATCTCTTCTATGTATCGCATTCTTGTTTACAAATCAGATGCAATCAACAATAGAAGTTCAATTTAAATCTGTGTCACAAGTCACAAGCAAACATATACACAACTAGAAATATCTTGGCATCACTCCTAGGTCCTAGCTTCTGCATGCTTCTGTATTCCTCCACACGCGGTTAGTCTTTTCAGGAACAGGACAAACACCAGCCACTCCAAATTCACTCGGGTGGCAAAAGCCAATTCTTTTGCACCGGACAGTGGACTGAACTTGGAGCGCAAAAGGTTGTTCTTCAAAGGCAAGCTACACCTGACCCTAAAAGCAGGAGTGTAAGACCCGAATCTTATTATTGGAAAGGATGTCAATGCCTCTGTACCAGATACACTGGCAACTTCAGAAGCAAGCTCCTCGCCTCGTACTGGCCACTGGCCACATGGTTTCCTAGTGCTACCAACCTGTAAAGGCTCAAACCTCAACAGCCAATCTCTGCCCCTTCCACGCTCCACTCCCAAGCACGCTCTCCACTCCCAGGGACGTGTCTCCGCGCGCCAACTGCGCTCGGTGCACGGACTCCTTGGCCAATCTCTGGACTGTGATCACCTCGGCACCGTGATCCGTCCATCTCGTCGCGGATCGAATCTGGAGTCGCTCGTCACCCAAAACTCTGAGAGTCTCTGCCTTGGTTTCCAGGAAGTGACCTTTTAAAAGGCTCCTGCTAGAGCCTCCCCGCAATCAATGATGGTGAATCTTTGTGAGCATCTTTCCCATGATCCAATGTCCAGAACCGGTCACACTTTACATTCTGTTGCCACGAGCTTGGTAGCTCTTCAAGATCTGGATTCTGGATCTGGAACTACGAAGAACCCCATGCTTTGTTGAGAAGTTACCTATTTGGATATTACATGGTCATTCTTTTCAACAATTGCTGTTGAAATGGCACTGTCCCGCTTAAACGAGGAATTCAACATCCTGCAGCACTGCAGGCCCTGGGTCCGGTTATGGCACGCGCACGAGATGTGGTAAGAGAACTGCCTCATTCGTTGTAGCAAGCACGAGGTGGGTGGAACAAGCTTGCCCAGTAAAGCCATGTGTACGTCGCCACATAAGCCCATTCAATCCTTTCAATTCACTCAGTTTCCCCAAAGATCGTGTTCTTGTGGGACGGCGGCACCATCTATAGAAAAAATGCCGGAAAGGCCCCCCATTCTCTCTCCACATGGCTGTATCCCATAAACACGGCCGCGTCACAGAGAAGCTGTTCAAGAAGGCTAAGAGTGGATGGACAATCATGTGCGGCAAATTCATGGCCTTGGGGAGCCGTTCTGTGCTCTAAGCTCACCCTGAAATAGTAAGCTCAGCGACAGTGAACAGTGTACCCATGTTCCTCCTGCGTGGAGACAATCTTTTTTGGTGTTGAAGGGCGATGTTATGCTGTTTCAGGTTCTTTGTATATATGTTGGCAGTGGGGGTCGGGGTGGTTGGAGCTTTCAGGATGATCCTTTGGGTCTTGGAATTGTGTTTGGGAGGTGGAGTGGGAGGCAGGTCAGGGATGATGACGTCTTTGACTGGTGGATGAGCCTTCGAGCATGATTGTTCAATGACGAGCCTGTCAGAAACTGAACCGCATTCCTTGCCCTTGCTACGAACATGTCGGATGATGATATTGGATTGTTAGGAAAAGCCAACAAAACTTCGACCTCAGCTTGTTGCAACAACCCGTAACATGTTGCAATGAACGGCATCAACTTGCATCTCCTCTGGCCCACATTCCTTCCCCATGCCATATCTGGGAATTGCCTTTCAATATATGACTCACATGGACCCTGCAGATCTGCGTGAGATCCAAGTCCGCCTGCGTGCGGGGGAGGATTGGAAGGTGTGGCAGAAACCAAGAATCCAAGTCCGAAGCGCACTCTCAACTCCTCCAGGGTCCTCCAGGGCTCCCGGGCACATTGTAACTCCTCCATGAGACCGTCTGAAAGAAGCTGTAAGACCTGCAGGCGATGTAGAAGTTGTCTATGTCTGAGCAATGGTCATGGTTTCACTTCTTGAACACCAACTCCCTCATCTTTCTTTTAGATTAATGGGAATCGGAATACTATTCACCGTTACTTAATCCACACATGCCTCTAACATTTTCACCTGATCTTCTGGGTGTCCAACAAAAGACTTTGCATCAGATTGCGATATGTGCCAATCACAGTTTGCTTGACAGATTTGACGTCATGATCTGCGTCAATATGATATTTATAGAATATGCTCTCATGTCATTCCGTGAGACGAGGACACCAATGTGAATCAAAGGACACATCCATCTTTCAGTAGGAGAATGTGCCCATGTGCCCACACAAAAAGCACGATCTTCCTCCCTTCCGGGCCTTCACTTCCTCGGCAAACATAGGGGTTGAACCACAGGCACACAACACTGCCATGTTCACTATCACTATTCCACTAGACTCCATCAAATCCCTACATGCCAGCTGTAACATGAAGTAACCAAATTTAGACAATCACCGGGGTCTTGGGGACTGCCAACTTTTTGCCATGATCTTCAGAACAGAAGGGCTCCTCAGGACAACAAGGGATGTACATAAAGATCTAGCAACATTGCCATACAACGCCAGTCCTTCTTTCAGGTAGGTACTAGACACATGATTCCATATACTTAATGAATCTAATTAATCACATAACTACTCTTGGCCTCAACTTTAAAAGCACATGGATCTCAAGAACCTCCTGTCATGTCCCGAGTTCTTCAAAGCCTTCGGACCAAAGACTCTCTAATCCGCTGACCGACCAAGCTACGTGGATGGACATCTTCTTCTGCTGCTGGACAAAAGCATGCTCTACAAAGCGCTGGATCCGCGAAGCTAATTCCATGGGCACATTGTTCCTTAATGAAGAGGGACTACGGCATCCATCTGCAAAAAACGTGGCTCTGAAGAACGTTTCGGAGAGTTTCGGAGAGAGTTTGTATATTCGGTCCGGTTTGGTGAGCTGCCACAGATCACAGCTCAAATAAGATCCGCGGAAACAGGAGAGTCTCTTACACTCGAAACTCTAATCATCCCTAGAAAGAAAGCCCCTAGAAAGATGATTTATTTTCTCCATGGCATCTGAAATATAGAGCACCCACCCAGGGAACAGTTCGTCTGTGCCTGTGTGCTTCAAATCCCTATGCTCTGATTGAACCTCCTTGCATCCACAGTTTCACAATTCAAGTTTTCATCACCATGGTTGGGGCATTTAGGTTCAGCCAAATCCTTGAATTGAAGGGCACACAGGGCACACTTCGTTCCTTTGTTGGCCATGCCATTGCAAGGGGGTTGGTCATTTCGGATCAAACTGGTCAATGTGTGTACACGCATATATCATATATCTATGTATATAAGTTTGAATCTCGCACGGTTCCTTTTCACAGCAGCGAATCAGCTCA